TCCTGAGGCCACTGCCCACTGCCCTCCAGGTGACAAATCACTGAAGAATAAAAGGGGTGACAGATCTAATACTGCAGCCTGCTGCCCTTCCCACTTGCTTCCCAAAACCCTCTTACCAGTCATAGGCTCCACATAGGCAGGGCAGGGCTTATCCAGCCTGGGCAACAGTGAGGCCCGCTCTTGGAGATGCTTATGAAAGGAATAGGCAGGCCGAACTGGGGGTGGAGGGAATACCTGGAGAAGAAATGAGGACGGCAACTTTAACATGGAGGGAGAGCCCAGACACAGGAGGTAAAAGGGAGAAAAACTGAGTGTGGCGGAGGCACCAACTGGAAAGGACTCCCCACCTTACCTCTGTGTAGCGCAGCACTGGGTGAGCTCCCTGAACGGCAGACACAGTGAGTGGGAGACCCTCCAGCCCCCATAGCAGGCGGCTGAGGTCATCATAGCAACGCACAGCTAATGCCAGGGCCTCTTCACCTGTGTTGGAGACCTGACGAAGAGAAGACACTGAGGAAGAAGTCTATCTAGGTCTTACAAAAGCCCAGCACCACCTAGGAGGATCCTGCCATGACTCAGGCTACTGAAGGACCAGTGCACCCCCTGCTGGACACAAGAAGATGAAGCCTCGCTGCGGTGGTTCTTTCCAGTCTTGTCAAGAGTTTACTCCACAATCACTCTTAGATCCCAGGCTCTTACCTCTTTTGGGCCTTGGATCAATGCATCGAGGAAACCACCCACATAGTGGACACAGGTATCTGGGATGTCAGCATGGCTGAAGAACACAGAGAGAATAAGGTCATCAGGGACTATGCCTATCGACCACAGCAGCCCTCTGGCAGGAAGATGCTAATACTCACAGTGCCAGGAGGTGGGTGACCACCTGCTGAGGAATAAGGCGCTTCTCAGACACAGAGGCCGCCTCCCAGACCACAGCTTCCCGGATGGCTCCATCCTGGAAACGTCTAAGTTCTGAGCGGGATCCCCAGAACTGACGGAAGTCAGCAGCCTGGGGAGAAGCAGAGGATGGGAGGAAAGCTCAGGAAAGACAGACTGAGTTGGGGTGTAGCACAGTGGTAGAGGCCTTGCCTAATAACATGCTCAAAGCCCTAAGCTCAATTCTAAGCACTGAAGTGTAAAAACACAGGCTGACCCACCCACTCCTTCCCACGGGCAGGCTAGGGTTCCACACCTCAGGCTGGTCAGCCTCAGGACCAAGATCAAGAACACTGGTCAGTCCCTCAGGCCGGAGGAGCAATCCCAGGGTCAGAGTCCCAGAGTCCTTATGCTTCGGTGGATCTTCCTTGATATCCCACTGTAGGGCATAAAAACTTTGACATCAATCTCAAAGGGCCCCAGCCTGGTCTAGAAACTAACCAGCTGGGCAGCTTGTCTTTTGTGTCCCTTGAGACACAGCAAACTCCCCTGTAGGGGACACCGTAACCACGCCTGCTAGGGACTCATTACTTCCCATTCTACATGGTCTCACCTCTGGAACTGGGGGCCGAGAGTGAGCCAGCAGGTGCAGTCGGGCCCCCAGACCCTGCTCCAAAATCGTGGTTAGCGGTCCCAAAG